TTTTTATAAGGGATAACAAAAAGGAAAAGGGAATTGGGATTGATGAGGAAGAGGGGAGACAATAACATACTTTCATTCATTCTGTACCTATTGCCATATCAAGATTTTAAATTATTCTATTTACTCTTTTCTGCCTTCTAGATTCAGTTCTCCTTTCAATATGTACTGTTCACAAGCTGCCTGTTGATTCTGTCCACTTGTTAAATAGATCCCATCTTTCTGTTGCCTTTTGCAAGGGATAGTCCTTCATGACTTCTGATAAAATGTCCATTTCGGCTATTTCCCGTATCTTTTCAATAAGATCTTCTTGTTTCGGTACCGTTGATCTTTTCCAATTTTTAGCATATAAAATTCTAGCTGCCGTAACTATGTATATAACTATATAATTCTTTGACTTATCTATATTTTCAGGTATCATACTCAATAAAAACAGTTCTGGGGTTAATGGCACCTTACAGAGCAGTATTTGTTCCAACATAGCATGCACTCTTTTCCAATATTGTTTCGCTACTCCACATGACCACCACATATGATAATAGCTTCCCACTTGTGTTTCACATTTCCAACACTTATTTGATACATCTGTATACATCTTTGACAATTTTTCTGGTGTCATGTGCCACATCCAGCCCAAGGTTCATAGATCTTAAATTCCAGGTTCCTACGCAGTATTTTTCTTTGCAGCATCAGACTTTCCTTTCACTTCCATGCGTGTCTGCAGCTTATCGTTCTTTCGGCTTTTGCCCAAACACTTCATTAATCCAGCCCAAGGTTCATAGATCTTAAATTCCAGGTTCCTACGCAGTATTTTTCTTTGCAGCATCAGACTTTCCTTTCACTTCCATGCGTGTCTGCAGCTTATAGTTCTTTCGGCTTTTGCCCAACCACTTCGTTAGCTCTGGACCTACTTGTCCTTTTCCTCTGCTCTTCCTCAGTAACATGTTGGACACCTTCTTACCTGAGGGGCTCATCTTCCGGCATCATATCTTTTAGCCTTTTGTTTCTCTCCATGGAGTTTTCTTGGCAAAGATACTGGAGTGTTTTACCAGTTCCTGCTCCAGGTGGATCGTGTTTAGTCAGAACTCTCCACTATGACCTGTCCGTCTTGGGTGTCCCTGCACGGCACAGTCCATAGCTTCTCTGAATTACTGTACTCAAGTCCCTTCGCCACAACAAGGCAGCAATCCATGAAGGGATAGTACATTCCCCATGAAGGGGAATACATTTAGGAGTTGCTAACTATGGGATGAGGATGTCCTTTGGAGTAGGCGCTGAGATTGGGACAGTGTTTAATTGCAAATGCCTTTGGAGTACCTTCAGAATGGAAGAAGGATGGTGTTGGCTGAAACCAAGGTCGTGCTTGGTCCAGTATTCAGTTCTTATCAGTGGCCCGCCAGATATCTGCAGGAAGCCCACAGGCCATAAACCACAACAGACCCTTCCGCTCATATTTTTCAGCTCTTATTATTCAGAGGAAAACTGCCTATTCTCCAGGATATATATCCATCAGGACTACTACTGGTCATTAAGAGCCATAACCTTCCAAAAAAAAAAAACAATTAAATGTAATCATACAAAAACTAAAGGAAAAAAGGGCCAAAACATTTGTCAATAAAACCAGAGAACCTGGCCAAACTGATGTTGAAATGGAAAGATTTTGCAGTTCTTACATCCGACATATAGAAGCTCTTGTTATTTTTCAGCAGGCGTTGTGGGTCTTGGTGGAGAAAGAGGCACTTTGGAAGCTGCACAGCTATCAGCATTCTGGCAGGAAAGGACAGGAGGCTGAATATATAAGACTCATCCTTGTTTAAAAGGTTCTGTGGTTTTATAACCGTCCACACGGACTACAGAGGAGCCCTGCACTATACTTCTGCAGTGCCAAATTCCAGATCTAATTTGCCTAATGTTCAGTTACGGTTTTCAAATTGTTTCGGTTTTCAAAATTGAAAATGCAGTTGCAGTGAACTGATTGGATTGTTTTCCTGCAAAATGATTCACAAATGCCTTTCTGAAGCAGTTTTTATTTGTTTTAATCTTGAATTGGCATGTGGCAGCTTTTCTGAAATTAGATAGGATGATTAACCCAAAACTGAGCAATGGCAGGAGGTTACAGAATGTACCAAACTAGCTGTATGGTAGTAGATCTAGAAGTAAAGCACCTGCACTTCCCAGTGCCATTTGTACATTGCCTTCTGATTGATGGGAAGGAGGAGAGCAGATAGTTAACCCTCATGTCCAGGTTCTAATGGAGTCTTTGAGGATCTCCCGTATGAAGGACTTTTGTAGTGTGTATTAACAGGAACCAGTTCAGTAGAGCCAAGGAACCTTTCACCTTCTAGATTATTTTAGCCTATAGCCCCCACTCAGCATAGCCAGTGATAAGGGATCATGGGAGTTGCAGTCCCAAATGCCTAGAAGGCTGGAGTTCTCCACCCTTGCAATATATATAAACATAAATAAATCAGTGCAAAATTAAGGCTTTAATTTTCACTGCAGTTATTTGAAATGATAGTGCCCTTTGCCTTGAGTTGAGGAAAGCTCTGCGTTCATATCATTTCAAATTTTGATCATCTTATGCCGGAGGAGTGTTGAGCGAACCCTTCCCCCACCGCCACAAATTTGACCATGAGCTATTGCTAATATTAATCTCCAGGATGAAGCTGAAGAACAGTTCTGTGCCGGAACCACACAGTGCTTGGTAACTAACGCCGGCATGTGGATGGTGACTGTTCTGCCAAAGCTTGGTGGACGAGGAGAGGTCCACCAAGAACTCTTAGGCACCTGTCTATGTATTTCACTGGTTTGGGCTTCTTGCTTGTCTGGTTTTCTGTGGGTTCCGTCTCTTCCTTTAAGCAATGAGGAGCTTAAGGTTTTTTCTTAGAAAGACCATTACTGTATATTTGCTACTAACACCACCGCTGAAATCCTTGGGTTCCTGTATAAACGTGTGTGGGGTCTTCCTCCACACCCTGGCTCCTTCCTTAACCAGATAGGAGCTTGAGACCATCCGTTTCTCTTCNNNCCCCCCCCACCCACACCCTGCTTCTTTTGTGCTGATATCTTTGCCACTCCAGAGTAGGCCGCTGCTCCATAGCGGATCTGCCGTTCAATTCTATGCTTTTAAATAAAGCCTTTTCTGTGTTGCAGCTAAGTGAGCCCTCTAGTGGCCATGCCAAAGATTCTTTGGCAAAAAGGACACCCAGGCGTTTCAGGTTCCTTGTGTACAGTGGATAGGTTTTGTTTGCTCACTTGACCCGGGCTTTAAAAAGCCTTTTATAGCCTCTCTGGCTCTGCAGTAGCTGCAGCTGATCTCCTACCGTTGTGATCTACTGTGCCTTAATTATTTAAATCCCAAGATCACTGGGTGAGATGAGCCAGACATTTTTAAAATATCAAATGTGGTCGTTCATCACATTAGTGACATACTTGCGAAATGAGTGCAATTGTTCGGTAGTTGGAGCATTCTTTGGCACTGCCTTTCTTTGGGATTGGGATGTAGACTGATCTTTTCCAATCCTCTGGCCACTGTTGGGTTTTCCAAACTTGCTGGCATATTGAATGTAGCACCTTAACAGCATCATCTTTCAAGATTTTAAATAGTTCAACTGGGATGCCATCACCTCCACT